ATCTCTTTTTAGACCTGTCATCGCTTCGGGAAGGATTCGATGACCGACGGCTCTTCGTACAGCAGTTGGCAACAACAAAAGGCCCTTAAGCTGGTTCTTGCAAGAATATTGCGACATTATTGCGCGTTTGAGATTGATCTTTGCAGGCGATTTGTGTTTCAAGAGAAAGAAGAGAAAAGATATATAGAACAAGAAAGGCAACATGGTCTAAAGAGAAAAGATGAAAGGAAGAAAGGTCTAAAGAGTATCAAGAAAAAGAAGAAAAAATAAAGAAATGTATAGAAAAAGATTGCAACATATTGTCACAGTGCTTGAGATTGATCTTTGCAGGTGATAAATTGGCTGGAGAAATTGTGAAGTCCGGAAAACTCTGGGGTGATTGCTGGGACAGTGCCAAGAGTTTGGATCCCCAGGCACTGGTCTCATAGGACTCTGTGTAGAGGGCTGTTTCTTGTGGCCATGTCAGATTGGTTGGGGGTTCGGTGGATTTCACGTGCAGGTATTGAAGCAGTTGATTATGGTGATCGGGAAATTGCCGCCTTCATCAAACCCTCCACCGCCTCCAGTTCACGCATGTAGCTTGAAGTGTTAGTATGGTTGTCCTTAGCTTCCGTTCTTCTATTTTTCATTCGTTGGCTTTTCCTTTAAACATTTTGCGAGTTCCAAGGTCTTTGCTGTTGTCCATGAGACTCCAAATTTGTTTCGAGAAGCCCTGGTACTGAAAAAGCACTTGCAATCCAAATTCGTACAGTAGATAGATTGTTAGCGCTGCTGTTCTTGGGAGACGCCAAAAAACCTTGCGCCAGTTGTGCTGTCAAGGTAAAGATGCTCTCGCGCGGTATTTGGACTTTGAGAAAGGTTGGGCCACACCAAGTAATGGTGATGTTTGCTGTGAGGTATGATGTAAACGCAAACATGACTTTGCGCTCATCACCAGAACATTTGCCCCTAGTTTTCGTACCCTTTCTTTGGGTTGATCTCCGCACCCTTCAGTGAGGTCTTGGGTTTAACCTACTAGCAAAAGGAACCTGACAGGAATTCCCTCCAACCTAAGAGTGATGGCCTCCAACTTATTAGCTTTATGGAAGAGACATTTGCAAAGGTTCACCTGAACAAGCCGTTGCAGCAGTTGAGGTGCAGGGGTTGCATCAATTTCCGTTTGATGTGTGTAAGCTTTGTGAGCTCAAAAACTGTTTCCAAGACCGCATTGCATATGCTGTGCGGTCCTTTCACATCCTTTCACCTTTGTCCAGGTGTGCGAAAACGTGGTGAAGCGACTTCTGACACTGGAATGGGAAATCTCGGCAGAAGAGGTGGGATGAGTGATGCCCTTTGCTCCTAATAGCATCCTTGCTCCTAGTAGCGATGCCAGGAGCCCCTAGCAGCTTTTTGTTACTAGTAGTAAGGCCAGGAGCCCCTACTAGCGTCCTTGCTCCTAGTAGCGATGGTCTCCACCCTACTATTGATGGCCTCCATCCTAATCATCGTGTGAACTCATTGTTGAAGTTTTACACGCAACGGCAGTAAGTGTCAATCTGTGAAAAGATTCTGACGATGTGCGAAGGGAGACATTTGTTGAACTTTAGCTCGCGTCTCCAAAACAAGAACAATTAAAGACTGACTGTCGCTGCTTCTCCTCAAAATGTGAGGTGGACAGAGGTGTTAAATGTGCCTTTCTGTTGAGGTCAAAGATGCGCTCCAGTCTATTCTGGAAGAGGCCACTCCGACGTATGGGTTAGTTCAAACAAGTCCAAAAACAACAAAACGAATAGCAATGGCCTCCAACCTAATATTAGATAAAACCAACATTGGTTCCACTAGGTTCAGAACATTGGACATTCTAGTGATTCTTTTCTGAGGCAGATGGTTGTCTCCAAATTCGACAGAAGGACAGGATTCCTACTCTGACTAGGTCTAGGTGCTGGTTTGGGGTGCATTTTGTCCAGGATCACAAGGAAGCAAGGAAGAGGTCCGGCACTTAGATGCTCCACAAACAACAAAAGGAAAGAAAGAACATAAACAGAGAAAAATAAGAAGGTCGAAAAAGGCGTAAAAAGGTATTGTTCTTCCGTTCTGCCAGGATTTTGGAGCTCATGGAGCACTTGGACAAGCCATGGTCCATCAAGCTGAAGCAAGCCGATGCCACAGCACAGGTTCGGGTGCACTGAGCATTCGCAAGCTGCATCATTTGGCGTAAGACGACAATCGTGTTTCAGTTAACTTTTTGTTTAAGCCTGCTCCCCCTACTACCTACTTAATTGAGTAGGTCTACTTAATTTAGTACGGGGCTAGTTCGCTACTAGCTTACTACTTAAGCTACGAGTAACTTGACGCAGGATAGCTCACGATCGCATTAGTGATTTGGTTCCTAGACTTTTAGGGAAACTTAAACAAATAGCATTCAAAAGAGATATCGATCTCAGTTGCGAGAGAAAATGTTTGCGATTCGGAGGAAGAAGATGGTCCTACTGTAGCCGCCACAGAGAGCAGCCATTGGCGAGTTGCAACAGTGTCATGGCTTTGCAGAAGCGAGCTCTTTGCGCCTCCAGCACTGCCAAAAATGCGGGGCGGGCACAAGGCCACGACTCATCATACTTGTTTATGTCTCACCAGCATGTTACTCTCCTATGTTTGTTTCTTTCAACCATCCAAGTTTTTCTGCGACGGTCTTTGCTTCTTGCTTTGCGCAGGGTAAAGGCATCGATACGCGTGGGATTTACGAAACTTGGCAAGTCACGGGCGATTTTGTTCTTGACCGCTTTCTGCAGCTAGTGATGTCAGAAGCATACTGTTTTGAAAGGACTCCCCAGAACAGTACATGGACACCATCCAGAAGCTGATGGTTGCCATGACATTCAGCGATGGCAATGCTTCGGTTACTCCCACATGCTGGCAAAGAGACGCAAAGGGAAAAGCAGCGTGGCATAGCATGGCGTTGTTCGTCTCAAGTCTCACAAGATGCAAAGCGAAAGATGGTGACTCTCCTTATCAAAGACAGCTTACACTAGAACTCTTTTTAACAGCAACTCTCCTGTTTTGTACCAGTTCTTAATATGTGTGCCACGTTTTGTTGCTGGTCCCCTTTTGATCCTTATTCCCAACCAAGAACACTTAGAACATCGACACATGTTGTGTTCTAACAAAATAATGTTTTTGTTCTAGATGACGCTTGTTTGGAAGCTACTAGGAGCAAAGGGCATCGCTACTAGGGGCTCCTGGCATCGCTACTAGGGACAAGGACGCTACTAGTCACTAGCGCATCACTACTAGCAAGAAGCTACTAGGAGCAAAGGGCATCGCTTCTTCGATTTCTGCCGTGTGTTTCGAATGAGGCATGTGGGGCGCCCTTGTGGCCAATCCCAGAGGGGCAGGGCCTGGAGTGCCGCACTCGCCACTTTGGCGAAAAAAAGGTCCTAGTAGATTCCTTTGCTAGTAACAAGTGCCACGCTAGTAGTAACAGGTGCCTTACTAGTAGTAACAAGAAGCTACTAATTACAATTCTAATTAAACTATTATTGTTACTAGTAGTAAGGCACTTGTTACTACTATATAGCTTTTGCACGGTAGTGATGTCGATATGCTCCGTTCGTAGCGTCCATGTTCATTCCCTAGTAGTACGGCCAGGAGCCCCTAGTAGCGTCTTTGTTCCTAGTAGCGATGCCCTTGTTACTAGTAGCTATTTGCTCCTGGACAGATATGCTGTTTGTGTTGTTTTCTTTCTTAGTAGTTAGTAGTCCTCATTATTCTGTAAACGATGTTCTCAAGGCGTGCCATTCTCATCCACAGAGGAGTAGGGTCGTGTCTCATCGTCAGAGAACATTCCAGGGCGCTGTGCCGGGAGCGTGGTTTTGGCTTGTGGCAATCGCAACCACCAGTGTGGCCTTTGCAAGAAGTGCGCCAACGAGGCTGGGTCAAGAACAATCCGTTCATGTCCAGTTAACTGAGTTGACATTGTCCTACCTTTTGTTACCCCATTACCCACCATCGCTAGTAGGTTGGAGGCCATCGCTATTGGTAGCTACTTAAAGCTTAGTAGCTAATGTTCTCAGCATGTTCTGCAAAGGCAACGTTACATTCTTTGGGCCGAGCAAGTCTGAAGCTGAGCAAAGGGAGGCGTCAGGGCCATCCAGGAAAGATTTGAGAGGAGACAAACCTTGCGTAAGAACGGTGTTTTTGAAAAATGAAACAAAACCTGCGCGGTCTAATCGATTCAAACTGAATCAGAGCGACATAGAAAGCGCATGTGTTTCTTGTGCTGAGAGAAAGAATATAACAACGTTTTCTTTTGCTAAGCTCAAGCGGTCTACGCGTAGCACTGCGTGCAGCGACTGGCACTGGAAGCACTGCGTCAACGCCTCCATTAAAACGGAAGAGTCAGCGTGCCTTGATAGAGAAAGACAATGAAAAAGGAATGAAACAATTAAGAAAAGACAAGACCAAACATAATACTACTGTCTTATGTTTCTTACTAGTGAGGCCAGGAGCCCCTAGTAGCGTCCTTGTTCCTAGGCATAAAGTGTTTCCAGGTCCCAAAGCTTCAACCCACATCTACGATGCTGCGCTTTCACATATCGGGGCAGATGGCAGGCGTGAGCGGCGCAAGCATTGTAGACCTTGCAAAAAACAGAAACAACGGATCCGTTTCAGGAGGATTTGTGTGACAACAATGTCACAACTAAATCCAAAAAAACCTTGGAGAGCACTGGACTAATGTGTTGCGCAAGATTGTATGATCAATGCAGTTGCAAGATTGCAATTGAAGGCTGTACTTTAATGGAGTGCGGTCTCGCAGCCCACCTCAATATGCAGTGAACTGGAGAACGTCGAAGCGCTTGCAAAGCCCCAATTTAGTTGGCTTGGTCAAGTTGGCAGAACAAGGCCAAGTGACGGGGGATGCAGATGCACTGAAAAGCATAAGGTGTCACATTTAAGGTTGGAATGAAGTTGTTTTTATCAAATGCTACTTGGTTGGAGGCAATCGCCATTAGGTTGGAAGCAATTCGGAAGATGCCTAGATGTTGCGGATGCCGAAGATGCCACTCCCCACAGCATGGTGTGTCAAGCAGGCGCAGCGCTGAAGATGACAGATCGCATCCTTTGGGGTGAAATTTGCAACCACCAGCATGGCGGGAAGCCTACAGATGAAGCTCGGAAGCGGCAAGATGGTTACCTTGCAGTGAATGTGGCCAGGTCCTCAGGGTCTAACCGGTCTTGCTTGCTTAATTGTTAAAATGCAGGAGCGAAACATGTCTCCTAGAAGGTCTAAAAGTGCTGCTGCCTACTCATGTTCTTGCCCAACTCAAATCGGATAGGACTGAACTACCTTTGCTCGATCCAAAAATCTAAGCTCAGAAGGTCCAAAGAAAATAAGATAGAAAGGTTTAAAAAGGGAAAAAATCTTTTAAAATAACAAATACAAATATAAATATCTATATATATATATATATTAATCACGAAAGCCAGCAGATTTTGGAGGTCGAACCCTGAGACTGGTGGGGGAGAGCGAAAAAGAGTGTGGCCAGGAAAGCGTCTGAGAAACCAAGGTCTAGAGCGTAAGACACTCTTGACATTCCCCTGACGTCGCCATTTCACCGTCGAGGATCCTTGAGCATCGTAGACAAAACAAGCCTTGACCGATCAGCAATGTTCGGTGTCGATTCGCCTTCTTTGTTGTCTGTCGAAGATTCTAGTTGACTCCGCTGGTTTTACAGTGGTAGCGGAGCCGGAGACGACCTCCGGCTCCCTGCCAGCTGTTGTGGTTCGTTGGATTGCACGGATCCCCTACAAGCATCGGATCCCTGGCAACAATACACAGGACCTGGACCAGCATCATGGTGTGGGCAACCTACAAGTGTAGCTGCTACCGGACCTTCGCATCTTTCGACACCATGTGCTTCAGGCAACCTATACTTTTCCAACAACCCCACAACTGCTGGCAGGTTTTCGCCGCACTCTGCACCGTCAGGTGACGCCTTGGTCCGAGGTTTTGCTGGAACAACCGCGCAGGGTGCTGGGATGGGTCAGGGATTTCCTGGTCCGCCTTCATCGAGCCCAATGACGCCCGGGCTTCAAGCGAATACCGTTGGAGCCCCAATGTTTGGACAAGCCTTTCCCCCTTCCGTAGGAATGCTGGGAACTGGTTTGGGAATGAGTTCAGTGATGGGAAACCCATATCAACAATTCATGCGTGCAACAAGTCCCCAGATGGGACAAGGACAGAGTTTTGCTGGAAATTTCACGCCTTCGACAATGCGGCCACCAGGACCTGGTTCGTTTTCAGGTGCTCCGTTGAATGCCACTCAAATGATGGAGCAATTGAATACCACTCCACCTGCTGGAGAACAGCCGTCTGTCAAGAGCGCCTTCGAATTGTTAGGTCGAAACGCTGTGACAGCACCTCCAGTGCAACAAGACTCAAACGAAGTTATGCTTCGGGCCTTGACTGCTGCCCTATCCGGAGACAAGAAGAGTTTGCCTCAGTGGAACGGCAACATTGAGAGCCTGAGGCCGTGGTTGAGGAGCTTGTTATTGTGGGAGTTGGACAACCACCTCCCAAAGCAACGTTGGGGTTTGAAACTACTTCAATCCTTTCCTGAAGGGAGCGTGCCTCGCAAGGTGGCAGAAGCTCTTGATCTGAGCGCGCTGTCTTCGGAACATGGATACAGTGCAATCTTGTCTGCAATATTGACCAAGTATGGTCCCTACTTGGAGGCCGCTGGACCCGCCGCCGTGGAGAATTTCTTCTACGGTAGCGAAAGGAGTAGATCGGAAAGTCTAGCCACCTACATTGCAGCCAAGGAGATTGCCCTCGCTGAGTTGGAAAGTCAAGTTGGTGAGAAGGTACCTCCATGGATTGCTGGAAGAATGCTCCTACGTCACGCCAATTTGAGCGAGACCCAAAAGGAAGCCCTGGCAATCAAATACAATTCACTTCTGCCGTTTGAACAAATGGCCGCTGCTCTACGACCTTTGGATCGGCCGGAGGCCTTAGTGCATCGGGTGGCCAAGACCTTTTTGGCCGCCGGTTCAAAAGATGACGAAGAGGCTGCCGAAGAAGTCGACTATGAAGATGAAGAGTTGGTCCCAGATGAAGACTGGGAAGAAGGCCCGGAAAGTGACGGAGAAGGTGGAATGAACTGCTTGCTGTTCGACACCCACCAAGAGTACACAGAAGAAGAGGCCAACTACATCTGGGCTTACAATAGTGCTTGCAAGGACATCCGGAAGGAGTTGCAAGCCAGGAGAAAAGGTCGACAGTTTTACAAACCCAAAGGCCGCTCTGTAGCCAAGGGTTCTGGCAAGAAGGGCAAGCGCAAAAGTCGCAAGGGAAAAACTTCAGCTGGAAACCGTGGTACTCCAGAAGACTTGATGGCTCGAACAAAAGGCTTCTCTTGTGGCGAGCTGGGACACATGAGCAAGGAGTGTCCTCAGAAGAGCCGGACTTCATTCTTCGTGTGTCGTGGAACACAGTTGGAGCAGTCACGGACATATGTCGTTGCAACGCTGCCGCAGAAGGTTGGAGTCGAGCCACAAGTTGGACCTGCTACATTGTGCATTGAGCAGTCTGGCAAATTTCCAGCTGGTTCGGGGCACACTCGCAGACATGATGCCGGTGATGCCGGGCAGCTTCTTGATCCAGCCGGAAATGATGCCGGTGATGCTGGGCAGCTGCTTGATGAAAAGCGGGGGTTAAATTTAACCCCCGGATTTGGAACCAAACCAAGAGGAAAAATGCCAGAGCAGTCGTGCGTCGAACAGTCGTGCATTGACCAGTCGTGCGTTGAGCAGTTGAGCGTTGAGCAACAGAGCATTGCGCAACAACAGAGCATTGCGCAACAACAGAGCATTGTGCAACAGTCGAGCATTGAGCAACAGAACATTGAGCAACAGTGCATTGGTCGAGCAGAATGTTGGACGGATGCTTCACCCCCAGAGGTGAACTCTGTGTTGGTGAATGTATCCTCTGAGGTGCAAAAGTGTGCACAAATCTTTGCTGGGGTTAAGACTGAAGGGACAGAAGCCATTGTGGACACTGCTGCGGAGGAAGGAGTCATTGGTAGCAACGCCATGCGAAGACTTCGAGAAGCGCTTTCCCGCTTCAAGCTGCAGCCGGTGGAGGCATCTGGCTCAACAGTTTCTTGCGCGGGCATTGGTGGAAGTGCGCGCATTGTTGGGATTTATGATGTCCCGATCGGTGTGGCTCGCTGCAACTCACTCATTCGAGTGACCGAAATAGCTGATGAAGGGAACTTTGAGACCCCTTTTTTGCTGCCCATTTCGTACATTGAGTTGGTTGGTGGAGTTGTTGATACAGGTCGAAACATCTTCGCCTTGAAGAATGGCCGTAGGACCCCAATGAGGCGCACCCCTTCCGGCCATCGAGCCATCTCTGTTGTCGAATTTTCTGGACAGTGGAAACTCCCTCCACAGCTGGCAGATGAACTTGGCGCAAAGGATCGCAACCCGTTTCACATGGACATTGCTGGAGAGCGAAATCGTGTTCAGCAGCGCCCAGGGGTTGCAGTGTGGGTCAAAGAAGGTCAAGTGGTCACCTTTGTAGGCACCTTGCCAGGCCGTCGTGCTACATTGGTACATCCTTCAGAGTGCCTCTCCCCAGCCGAGTTGCCTCACCTTTCCACCGGAAGAGTCACACATGCTGTTTCTGATGATGACATTGCCTCCAACATCCATGATCTGTGGACCGGTCAGCAACGCCAATTTCCTTTTTGGTCCGGAGATGTCGTTTTTGAGCGTTTTGAACGTTTTTCACCTCCTGTTGACGTTGCTGCCACTTCACACCCACCTCTTTAACCTCAAGACGGTGTTCAAGTGCTGGAATTTTGACCTGCCAGAACACCGTCGCCAGGCTCTCCAAGATTGCCAAACACCGACCGGCAGTGCTCATTTTTAGCCCACCTTGCATGGTCTTCTCCAGACTTCGATCCCTTTCAAACCACAAAAGGAATCAAAGGGTCGTTCAGCAAGAGTATGAACAAGGTCTCAATCACATGCTCTTTGCCCTTAGTTTGTGCCGCCTCCAACTCAGGGAGCACAGAGGATTTGTGCTCGAACAGCCTGCCAGTGCCTCCTCGTGGCAACTGGACGAGATGAACCAATTGGAACCTGGAGTATACCAGATCCTCCTGGACATGTGTCGCTTTGGACTACGAGCAGCAGTGGGCCATACAAAGATCAGTTGGTGAAGAAGCCGACCATGCTGATCACCAACATTGCAGAGATGGCCGCCCATGTCAGCCGCCTCTGTGACAAAGGCCACGAACACGGCCAACTCATTGGTGGAGCAGCCAGTGGGGCCGCCATTTTCACGCCTGCCTTTGTGAAGGCGATTCTGAGAGGAATCAAAGAAGCTCCTGGAATCAAGGCAGACACCAATGGCCTACCGCTTGAGGCTGCCCTTTAAGCATTGGGCCAAGCCGCCTATGTGTATGCCAAAGACCAAGTTGAGCTGGAGGAAGAATTTCAGCGGTCATACGCAGCATCATCCTATCCGACTGAATTTGGACCGTTGGAGGAGGACCAATTGAATGAATATGAGCCAACGGAGGTGGGCCCCTCCGATGAACCCATGGCTCAAACGCCCGAACCTCCAGAGCATGATGCTGCGGAGGACGTAAGAAGAGAGCTAAGGCGGCTGGAAGACAAGGATCGCCAAGGCTCTGCAGAAGGTTGACGACTTCTCCAAAACAGATGATGATGGCCCCAGCATTGCCTTCGCTGGACCAAGGACCACTTCAGATGCGCCACTTGCGCCAGTCGAACCAAGCCCAGTCCTGCGAGGCCAGGCCATTTGATGAGGTCCCTCGAATTCAACCAAGTCGTGGCAAGAGTACATTTTGCTCCAGGCCCTATGCTGGGGAACCAATTACCAACAGGCAAGTCTGCGCCAGAACAAATCAGCTGATGAAGTGCTGCGGACGTTGATGGACATGTGGGTCAAGGTTTTCGGCCCGCCTGAGCTGTTGGTCCTGGACAGAGGAAAGGAATTCTTCAATGAGAAGTTCCACGCAGTGCTAGGAGACCAAGGATGTGGCCTGCACATTGATGCAGAAAGTCCATGGCAAAACAGCCGCACAGAACGTGCAGGAGGAATCTTGAAAGAAAAGATTTTGGCAACTGCCCACGCAGTGTCCGCAACACCGGAAGAACTCCATCTAGCGATTGCTGAAGCTGTGTCGGCGAGGAATCGGTTCATGAACAGGTTTGGCTTCTCTCCAACGCAAAGAGTTTTTGGCAAGAACCTTCGCCTTCATGGTTCGATGTTGACCTCCGACTCCATGGACCAAGAACTCCCGCAAGCATCAGTCACCAAACCAGTGCGAAGACTGTGGGAGATTCAACACATCGCCACCAAGGAGTGGGTTAGGAGGCAGGACCAAGAGGCCATCCGAAGAAGCATAAGGGCCAAGACAAGAACCTCAGATATGAAGAGCCTAGCACCAGGCTCATGGGTCTATGTCTTCAGAGACACTCCATCCTACAAAGGCTGGACCGGCCGAGGTGTTCTCATTGCAGAAGATCTCAACAACCGCTCCTGTTGGGTCTCGATGAGAGGACGATTGTGGAAAGCCAGCCGAGAACAAATCAGGCTTGCACACCCTGAAGAAGAGTTGGGAGCCGAGCTAGTGGTGGAACTTTCCAAAGAAATGTTGAACAAAGTCCACAAGCCGGGCCAAGTGGCGTTTCAGGACGTCGCCCAAGAAAGTTTCCCTCAAGATGATGACATGCCCGGGGACGAAGTTCAAAGAATCATCAGGGTTACCGAACGAAGAACGGACCCTGAAGCGCCACCCGCTCGGAGCACAACCGAAAGCACAGCGCCGCCTTCGGAAAATCTTGAAATGGAGTCAGAAGAAGCCAACACCACCAAGCCATCCGAACCATCAAGCCGCCGTGTCAGTTTCCTTGAACCTCCCGAGGAAAGCAGACCTATGGAGGCCATCGCAGAAGGCGATGAACCAATGTCACCATCCGCACCAAGCAGAACCGAGCACACCGCCAATGACTCTTTTCCCAGGACCAACACTGAGGATAAGTCAGCTCCAGATGAAGTCATGCTTGCGCTGTCGGGGCCCCAAACAGTGAGAGTCGATGAAGGAGCCCACGGCACCATGAGCTTTGGACCCCTCAGAACAAGAAGAACCCAGTGGGATCAAGTCCCCGAAACACCACCGTTGGGCTTTCAACCAAACCAGACCCGCAGTCGGCAGAATCCATATCCAATGACAGGCACCATCCCGTCACTGCCAACTCCTGCAGGAAGCTCCACGTTCCTGGAAGTGATCAATTTCGAGCAAGATGATGATATGGCCGGAATGGGAGTTGCACCAAAGTTCATTGGAGTGACTTGGAAGCATGACCGTGAACAGGGTCTTCCCTCAACCACGAGTGCACTCTCAAGGAACCTTCAATGCCTCTCAGGCCGAAGCAAGCTTCTGCCCAAGGGACAAGCTCTTCTACCTGACCAAGGCCAAGTCCTCTTTTGGCCAGGTCGAATTTGCTCGCCTGTCAGAGCCCGAAAGGGTGGCATTCAGAGAGGCAAAGAAGAAAGAGCTCAACATGGTTGGTTGTTGGGTTTTACAGATGAAACCTTGAACAAGGGAGCATCAGCACCAGTCGCTCATGCAGTGGAGATCAAAAAGGTTGAGACGCAAAGCCGTCGAGCTTGCTTTGTGAGACGATCTCATTGTCCACAGCCTCAGCGGCGCTCGAAAGACAAGATGCCTTTTTCCAGAGCATTAGATTTGCTCACTTCCACCCTCGCAGCAGACAGAAGCTAGAGGATGAGGAGCTTGCCATGGCTGGCAAGGCAACTGTAGTTGCTGCGGAGTCGGTAGGGTTCACCGATCCCGGAAGCATCCTCGTGGTTGATGCAAAATCATTGTACGACGCAATGAACGCAGAGCAAAGACACGGAAGTGACGACAGGGTTGCTTTCGAACTGGCGATCGTCCGTGAGTCGGTGGCTGTTGTTAGTGGACGAGTTCGTTGGGTGCCTCATAACGCAAACCCCTCGGACGCACTCACGAAAGTTGCTGGAGCGCATGCAGAGCCGATGTTGAAGCTCTTGCGCACTGGAAGGTATGCCATCCAGGAAGAGGACGAAGTGTTGGGCCAGGGAAAACAATCCCTGAATAGACTGAAAGTTTCGGCGCGCCAGGGGAATCTTAATTTTTCGGGGCTGAGAAACCAAGGTCTAGAGCGTAAGACACTCTTGACATTCCCCTGACGTCGCCATTTCACCGTCGAGGATCCTTGAGCATCGTAGACCAAACAAGCCTTGACCGATCAGCAATGTTCGGTGTCGATTCGCCTTCTTTGTTGTCTGTCGAAGATTCTAGTTGACTCCGCTGGTTTTACACGTCAAAAAAGCATCAAAGAAGCGGTTTGGTGATGCAAGCGATGCAAATGACGCCGAGTAGCGCAGCATTAGCGTCACGAAGGGGTCTGGAGACCAGTTTCTTTGCTTTCTGGAGCGTCATTAGCAGAAAGGTCTGGTAGAATGTCAGAAGGCTTGCCAGACAAAATGTCAGAAGCTTTGCCAGATAAAATGTCAGAAGATCATCCTGGTGGGGATCATTCGAATTGAGGATCACTCGAAATGTCAGAAGCTACTCATGATGGGGATCACTCGAAATAAGTCCGTGAATTTTTTTTTGTAGAGCTTTCTTCTTGTACTTTGACCTTTGAGAAAGAGCACCCGACGGCCAAAAGAGTCGAAAGGGTTGGACACCACGGAGGGAGCCCGTGCACGACTAACCACCCTCAGAAGAGAATGTCAGAGGATCAGGTAGATAAACTGCCAGGAGATAGTCATGGTGGGGATCACTGGAAATGTCAGCAGATAGTCATGGTGGGGGTCACTCGAAATAACTAAGTGATTTTTTATGTGGCCATCATTAGCAGAAAGGCTAGGTAGAATGTCAGAAGATAAAATGTCAGACGATTTGCCAGAAAGAATGTATGGTGGGGATCACTGGAAATGTCAGAAGATAGTCATGATGGGGATCACTCGAATGACAAAGTGTGTTTTTCTTCTGTGGCCATGTGTGGAAAACTTCAACACGATGCCCGAAATATCGCCGATCACCGCGACAAACACATACTTCGGGCATCGCTGTTGTTCTCCCGAAATTTCGCCGATCACCGCGACAAACACGCATTTCCGGCATCACCGTTTTTTTCGTGTTGGCTCACGTATTGTTACTTCTCAGTTCCTTGCACCTTCGCCCGGACAATTGGTGGGGATCATTGGAAATGTCAGCAGATAGTCGTGGTGGGGATCACTCGAAATAACTAAGTGGTTCTTTTCTTCTGTGGCCATGTGTGGAAGACTTCAACAGGATGCCCGAAATAGCGCCGACCATCGCGAAAAACACGTACTTCGGGCATCGCTGTTGTGGTCGCGTTGGCGCACGTTTTGTTACTTCTCAGTTCCTTGCACCTTCACCCGGACAATTTTCGTGAGCGCGCGGAGGGAGTGAACGATAGAAGATCTGGCAGATAATACGTCAGAAGATATGTCAGAACGAATATCAACAAGTATGTTTTCTCTCTAGTTGCTGCTTTTCGCGCCGTCCATACCCACCGCACGGCATTCTGGTCAGAAGCTACTCATGATGGGGATCACTCGAAATAAGTCCGTGAATTTTTTTGTAGAGCTTTCTTCTTGTACTTTGATCATCTTTGAGAAAGAGCACCCGACGACCAAAAGAGTCGAAAGGGTTGGACACCACGGAGGGAGCCCGCGCACGACTAACCACCCCCAGAAGAGCATGTCAGAGGATTAGGCAGTTAAACTGTCAGAAGATAGTCATGGTGGGGAACACTGGAAATGTCGGCAGATAGTCATGGTGGGGATCACTCGAAATAACTAAGTGAATTTTTTCGGTGGCCATCATTAGCAGAAAGGCCAGGTAGAATGTCAGAAGATAAAATGTCAGACGATTTGCCAGAAAGAATGTATGGTGGGGACCACTGGAAATGTCAGAGGATAGTCATGATGGGGATCACTCGAAATAACTAAGAGATTTTTCTTCTGCCAAGTGTGGAAGACTTCAACACGATGCCCGAAATATCGCCGATCACCGCGAAAAAACACATATTTCGGGCATCGCTGTTTTTCAACTATAGGTGCTCGGCTATCTTTCCTCCCAGCCCTGCTCTCTATAGGGCTTCGCATTGATGCACGATACCCGAAACACATTTCAACACAACCACAAAAACCATTTCGGGCATCATTCTCCTGGTGTTCACTCACGTTTATTTTTGCACGGATTCTCAAACAGAACACCAACAAGGGACGCTCCAGAAGGCGCCGCACCAAGCAAATCAAGAAAACTAAAAACATTCAACACTTCATGCTGTGCTCCGATCTTCATCTACGTCGCAGTGATACCAGCTCCACGAAAACTACAACCATTCAAGAATGAGTGCTCTCCTCTTTTTTCTCCCAGCCCTGCTCTTTGTAGGGCTTCGCATTGATGTACGATGCCCGAAACACATTTCAAAACAACAAAAAACCACCTTTCGGGCATCCTTATCCTGGTTGTCACTGACGTTTACACCCGGATTCTCAAATAGACCACCAAACAGGGACGCTCCAGAGAGCACCGCACCAGGAAAATCCAGAAAGCCTAGAACCTTCATGCTGTGCTCCGATCTTGGTCTACTCCACGTTGGTACAAGCTCCACGAAAGCTACACGCATTCAACAATAAGTGCTCCGCCATTTTTTCCTCCCAGTCTTGCGCTACCATCTTGGTCTCTCGCTGGTTTTCGTCCTCTCCTTTCTCAGGTGTATTTTTATTCATTTAAAAAAAATAAGAACGGCTGTATTTTGGTATGCCTTGCGCATCAAGGCATCGGTGATCGAGTTCGATGCGGACCATTTTGCTGAAGGAGACCACGTCGCAGTGATCGATTGCATGACGTTTGTCCCTGAGTCACTTGGCCAATTTGCAGGGGACGCAAGATTCAGCTAGATGCATATCATGCTCACAGCCACTGTTTGCTTTGTTCAAAGGAAAGCATAAAAAAGAAAGTATCAGAATGTCGAAAAAGAGAAAAAGAGAATGGACATTGTATATGGATGAAAGAGTTCCTGTTCTTTGTAGCAAGTGGTGAAGAGTTGAAGCACAAAAATTGGTGACCAAAACGAAAGGGAAGTAGTTTCTTCCGGTAAAGAGTAGATTGAATAAACTTGTCAGGAAAGATGGGCGCGTTGAACTTGATGTTTAGATGCGCAAAAACCCATTAGAGCCTGCGTTTCTTTCCTTGTTTGATGTTTTTTTAAAGCCTTCAGGCCTTTCTTTTGTCCAGTTTTGTCTTCCTTTTTCTAGACAGGTACATTCCGGTGCTGAAGGCGTTGGAGAAGCAGCGGGACAGCAATTTGCCTTTCGAGGCCTCGTGCACTGTCCAACTGAGATGTTCTCACAACCATCAAATTCATCAAACATTGCGGGGAAACGAGTCTCTTCAGTTTTGCTATTGCTCGCGTCGGCGACATACGTCTGTGACAGCTATGCTATGAATTTTGAATTAAATGCATCTTGAATTAGAAGCAAAGAAATTTACTAATAGCAATGGCCTCCAACCCAATAGCAATGGCCTCTATTGACAAGATGTTAGCCTTTGTGACGTCAAGATATTGCGACTTCCGCGGCATGACACCTCCGTCTCCATGCCAAGGGCGGAGCGTATTTGAATCTATGCTCTTGGCACCGACCAGATGTGAGCAACGTCCTCGGCGAGGACGACGTGCACATGTAGCTTGTCTCCATGCAGAGCGCCTAAATGTCACGCAAGTTCCCTGTCAACATTTGTCTCATCTACCAGCCTTCTCTTTTTGCAAACTTCAAGGAAAAAAGGAAGGAAGGAAGGAAGGAAGGTCAAATATAGTTTGCTATTAGGTTGGAGCCTATGGCTAGTAGAAACGAAACAAAAAAAGGAAAGGAAGAAAGGTCTGAATGACTTACTGGATCAAGGCGAAGCGCTGTACCCTAGCCCAATGCCAACCTGGAACCAAACGCGAAACCAAATGCAAAAAAAACACGGAACGCGCGGTCTCCAAGTTATTCCACATCATACCAGAAGTTGCTATGATGCACAAAGTGCGATAAACATAACAACATAACTGGTAGAACACATGCTCAAAGCCTGACAACCTGAAGAAGAAATAGGTCGAAAACCGAAAGAGTGGCGAAGTCCACGTGACCCGTTTTTTGCACACTTTCTGAAGGTCAAGACTACAAAGAATGGTGCCTTGGAGGCGTTTGACACATGTTCCCTTTTTTGTGTTCTCGACTCCTTTCCGGAAGCACCCCTTACTTCTGGAAGGTTTAGGTTTTGGCAACAACGGACCTGAACAAGAGCACCTTTTTGCTCCACAACACTACTAGACATGAAGCCTTTGCCTTGCGGCTTATCCACTCAAGGTGGACAGCCTTATCGCTGAAAGCACTTTGCAACCCTTCATCGAGATTCGTCGCGACGAACATTTGGCAGACAGGCCTCATGAGTTTTGTGGTGTTTGATCGAAGCCTATGTTTGAGCGTGGCAGTGACACAATGTGTTCACGGAAGTTGCGTCATGATTTTGTGCTTAAGTTGATCGAGAATGGCAGGCAAGAATAACTGATTGGCTGTCGGCTGTCGGTTCATCGTACGCATGCGTTTCCAACAAAGCACTATGCCTTTGGATGTTCTGAAGTCTTTTTCTGGCGATGAAACAGGCAAGAAACCTCACAACTTAGGGGAGTCTCACGACGACCTTGAACGCACACCACAGTAGCGTTTCAACCAGAAAGCTGGCAGTCATGTGAAGCGGTAACACTCAGTTCTCACTCAAGGGATGGATCTTGACAGCGTTGGGGCATCTCTAGCCCCAATACCAGTTTCGACTGCTGAAAGCTGTTTTTTGCTTCAACCCTCCTCTCTCTCTCTCTCTCTCTCCACAGCGAGAGCTGCAACACTGCCCGTACCAGCCATCAGTTCTTTAAAACGGCTTCTTCGAAGGTGTTTTTCGCTGTCTTTCTCTATTGCTGTCTTCGTCTACTCATGAAGTAGAAAAGAAGCAAGTAGAGATCAAGACAGAGATGAACAGAAAGAAAGACAGCTCCACGAAATCAGGACAACGCCGATTGTGTTGAGTCCAAGCGTTGCACTTCTTGCAGTCTGTGGATTGGTCGCCACCCTATTCTGAGAAAGGTCTTTGGAGGCTTTTTGATCACCTTTGGCTTAGGAAAGAGGGGATCCTTCACGAAATTGGTCTTCCCCAGCCTGTCGTGATAGGTACCCCCCTGGGACAGCAGTGATGCATGGCCTAAATGGGTTGATGCCTTGCGCCGCAGTGGCATCTCCGTGTGTGCAGAAGTTGCCACAACGCTCCATGTCGGCGCATGCACCCACCATTTCCAATATTTTGGTGAGAACTGGACAGCTAGACAGTGTTTTTTGGAACTTCAAGCGTGAAGACTGGGCAGGTGCTCTGCAGAGATCACAACGCTTCTGCAAAAGGCCACGTTGGACCCTGGTCAATTGCGAAGCTTTATCGATGGCCTCCGCAATCCCGTGCACCTGACCCAAGGACAGAGATCAACCAAAGAGCTCGTTTGACGTCAGCATTCCTAACGTTCAACTGTCCTTTTTCTTGCAAGAAAGAGTAGGTAACAGAAAGGAAAGAAAAAGATGGGTGTAAACAGATATAAATGGGAAGACAAGTCAACGTCTAAGAAAACGGAAGGACAAGATACGAACAACGATGTACGTAGGTAACTTCAAGCCAGGACCTCCCGGAACCGGGAAATCATATCTTGGTGTTGTAATGGTGCGCGCGTTGATGATTATCCGGAAATATTGGGTGCAAGTGAACTTCGATGCACAAAGACGTTCGTTTGCGATCGAAGTAACTGCAGTACTTCAGTTCAGCAGTACTTCCAAACAGGTTGGAGGCCATCGCTCCTGGCATCGCTACTAGGAGCAAGGACGCTACTAGGGGCTCCTGGCCTTACGCCCCCCCGTTTGCTACTAACAAATTAATCTTGTTATTTCTATTAGCTTCTTGTTACTAGTAGTAAGGCCAGGAGCCCCTAGTAGCATTCTTACTACTAGGAGCAAGGACGCTATTAGGTTGGAGGCCTAATGTGTTTGTGCGCCAAGGAGCCCGGTGGTTGGAACTCCACCCATCTTGGTTCTGTCATACAAGAGCCTTGGCGAAGCCCTTCCAGGGCAACAGAGGACTTCTTCGGTTGCTTTCTTGTTGGAGACTAATGTTTGTCAGATGCTTAAACCAGGACATGAAAAAGGAAGGACACCAGCCAGTTCCCACACACCAATGGTTGCAACGCTGTTACGAGAGTGATGGGAAAATGAAAAAACACAACAGACCAAGAAGTCCGGGGGGGTCGCCGGTCGTCAACAGCTTTGCAAGTTTTGCTCACGCCGTGCTCACCCCGTGCTCGCCTTACTTGCTCCTTCAGGAACCATGCAATCGATGAGTTCCTTGTGGACTTGGTGACAGCCGAGCCACATTTAGGAAGGAAACCTGACATGATCCGGATTGGAGGCAACGGATATGAGATGATATGAGTATCTATCTGGGGCTTAATTCCATTTATTGACCTCATAAGTTCCTAGGAGCAGTTGAAAGCTGCTGTACCCTGTTTTTTGCCGGTTCTTGCACTGCGGGCGCAGGTGGTGCTTCCCTGGATCAACGCCTTTGGAATTTCTCAGAGAGAAACTTGGGCCGGCAAGATTGGGAGGCTGAAGCGATGTCCTTTCACTTATTTGCCTTATGTGCACTTTCTTCTTCTATGGTTTTTTTTAATGTTTGGTTACAGCAGAGGGTAGTTGAGGCCGTAACCTATGGCCTCCAACCTAATAGCGTGATTCAAAAAGCGCAGGTGGGGAAGCTTCGGCAACATGTGCATTGGCTCCATGATTTGTCCACTTCGTGCAAAGCGTTGTCGCAAAAAAGCTCCAGCTTCAGCGGCTACCAGGCCACGACATATCCAGATATCACACGGTGATTCTTCAAAAGCCTTCCTGTGAAATGCAAGAAGTAGAAACAAATCGATTTCGATGAGAATTTTTGGAGTAGTGTAATGTTGTTAGCAGCTTGTGCGTGGCGCGTGCGAAAGCAAGAAATAAGAGATCTGCCAGGATTGAACCGAGACCGCGCTACACTTCACCACACACAACGAACCACTTGACGCGTCACCACAGGACTAATCACCGCATTACCTGCCTGCACTGCGATTCACGCTTGAAGTCTCATTGAATTCAGCGCTTGGTCAGTTGATGGTCTTTCATGACGGCTCCGCAACATACAGTCACTCCAATGGAGATTGGAAAAGGATTGTAACCTAAGAGCGATGGCCTCCAACCTGAGAGCGATGTCCTAGAAACCCAAGAGCGATGGCCTCGTTGGCCTCCAACTTAATTGTAATGGCCTCCGCTGGCCCTGCTACAGCCCCGGATATCACCGGGCAGCGTTCTGGCTAATACTTGCAAGAAGTAGACGCCCAAGACCACTGTCATTTCTGTAGCTTATATAGCGTCCTTGCTCCTAGTAGCGATGCCCTTTGCTCGTAGTAGCCTTCTTGCCTGCCTTCTTGTCCAACCGTCAGGTCGACATGTTCAAGGCCGCTTTTCCATCTGAGAACGAGAAAGACGCCGAGAAGAGACGTGCCTTGATGTGTGAACGTCGGATCAATCCATTCCACCTCGAAAGCGGCAAAAAGAAACAGAAAAAATACTATTCGGTCTACTAGCGATGGCCTCCAATGCGTTTTTTTGCTTCGTTCTGTTGTCCGGTTTTCAGGACGAAAATGTGCTTATGAAGCCACTGACCAGCTTCTCGCCAGAGCCTCAGCTTCCCGCAGTGGTTATATAGCGATGTTGAACAAGACCAAGATGGTTTTTGATCGTTCGAATGAAAGACACCTGTTTTGGGTCTCAAAAGAAAGAAGGAAAAGATTGAAGAAGCACTTTTGGAAAGAAACCAGGGACCTTATAGAGATGGCCTCCAACTTACTAGCAATGGCCTCCAAAAACATAAGAAGTGAAAAACCAAAGAAAATAATAAGAAAAGAAAACTTGTTTCTACTAGCAATGCCCTTGCAAAAGGACATTCTTTAAAGGGATAGCCAATTTGCTCTTTGCTCCTCCTCTCCTTCCTTTCGCTCCAAGGCCACCCTGGTTCGATATCGCCGCATGTTGGAAGCATTCGAGCAGGACGAGACTGTGTTGTTTGAAAAACATGTCCAACTTGACGTGTTTGCCACTCACTATTGCTCGCGCGCGCGCGCGAAAAGGTCCTAGTAACCTAGTAGCTGTTTGTTTCAGTTCTAATACAATTCTAATTTAATTCTTTTTGTTTCTACTAGCTTCTTGTCCAACTTGAAGTGTTAGTAGCTTCTTGTTACTAGAAGTAAGAATGCTCCTAGTAGCAATGCCAGGAGCCCCTAGTAGCATCCTTTGCTCCTACTAGCGATGCCCTTTGCTCCTACTAGCTTCTTGTTCCTAGTAGTAAGGCCAGGAGCCCTTAGTAGCCTTCTTGCCTTCTTGTCCAACTTGAAGTGTTTCACTCCAGTGTGTTTTTTTTACAACCGTTACTAAAAAGCCTTCGGTCGCGCAAGCAAAAAGTTCATGTCCACAATCTCCGTGGAACACCTGAGAAGAGGACTTTCGCAGATGGATAGTTTCCCGTTTTAGAGGACTCTGACGAAGATGACTACAAGATGCCAGATGACACGACCATTCTTAATGACTTGGACTTTATCCGTGAAGAAGCTGGACATATGCAACGCAGCCATTACCATTCCCACCGAAGAAGAGAGGCCATGTTTGTTGGATGTTTCATATTTGTTGACATTTGGGTCATTCGGCTTTCTGCTTCTTTTGAACCATTGGACGCGGCGTGAACATGCGTGAACTGTAGGCCCTGGAAGACATCCCCAATTTGAGAGAAGGCGCCATGGTGTGGTTTCAAGTGAGCACGTACCAATGTGAACACTTTCATGTCGTAACTCCTTTTTGCAGGCTTTACATGTACTCTACTTTGCGACCCTCTTTAGACGTTTCTTGTTTCTTCTTGTTCCTGCCCCTTTCACTTCCAAAAGGTTTCAGGTCTTGAACGCACAATGCCTTAAGCCTTGTGTCTTTCAAGACCTGGTAGCAATTGCCCCTGGTAGCGACGGCCTCCAACCTACTAGTGATGGCCTCCTCCTAGTAGCCTGGATGTCAAGACCGAGTCCAGTTTGACACGGCAGGTATCGAGCATTACATTGAACTTGGTCACACACACCTGGATGACCCAGGCAGTGATTCCATCACACGGTAGTGACGGTGGCAAAGACGTGGCATGGTGTTTTGTAAAGGAATTATTCGGGCACAAGAAACGGAATATTCTTATGTGTCTGGTTTTTGTGTCTTCTGTTTCTTTATTTCTTTTGAGATTTTTCCCTTGCAGGGACGAGAAACCCTTACCATATGGTGTGCTGTATGCTAAAGCGATCGGAGATGTAGCTGGTAGTGTGCTTGCCAGGTGAGATTCTTCTCTTGTTCCTTCGTGGATGGCGGCCACTTCCACTTTGCAACTATAGCTATGGCTATGTGTCCTGTTCCGATTTGGCCTTTGATCATGAAGCGCCCCTTTGCGTTGCTTGGTGGCGATAAAGGTCTTGTTCCTAGTAGCGATGCGCTTTGTTACTAGTAGCGATGGCCTCCAACCTACTTGCGATGGCCTCCACCTAATAGCGTCCTTGCTACTAGTAGCTTCTTGTTCCAAGTAGCAAGGCCAGGAGCTACTAGTAGCGCCCTTGCTACTAGTAGTAATGCCCTTGTTCCTAGTAGCGAGAATTGAATATAAACACTTTGCTGCTCAAAGAGCGCAAGTAAGTGACAAGGGTCTCCTGCTCCCTTTGCTTCTTCGGCTCAGGCAAACCATCGCTGCGGTTGGGAACTGGAGGACGTGCTGAAGACCTGGCCAAGCACACTGAGATGAAAGTTTGTCAACAAATGTTCCAAACCTAATAGCGATTGCCCTAGTAGCGTCTTGGCTCCTAGTAGCGATGCCAGGAGCCCCTAATAGCTTCTTGTTCCTAGTAGTAAGGCCAGGAGCATATCGTAGGGTCTTGTTAGTAGGGGCGGAGCTGAAATCCAATCACTGTCAAATTCCTACCCTGAAGGGTCGCAGTCTTTGCTTCAGCCATAAACTCTCACCAGCTAGAGACAAGAAATACAGAGAACGCGCGTTTGATGCGTTCAGCATCTCTGAGCATAGGTTGGAGGCCATCGCTAATGGAAACAAAGGGGCTAATAACAAGGGCACTGCTAGTAGCTAGAAGCTAGTAGGAGCAAAGGGCATCGCTACTAGGGGCTCCTGGCCTTACTACTAGGAGCAAGAATGCTACTAGTAACAAGGGCATCGCTACTAGGAGCAAGTTGGAGATGCTAGCTGTTTCTTTTGCAGGATTGGAGCCGCTGCCAGCATCCGGTCATCCCTGGGCGTCAGGGATGCAAGGATCACGCTTGCGGCGTTTTGGAGTGCCCTCAAAAGAAGCTTGCAGAGCAGGCGCAGATGTTTTGAATTATGCTGTGAGGCAGATGTTGCTTCTTGATACATGTTGATGGCTTTTAGACTTTGGCCAAGAGTTCTTAGATTTTGCCACTAGCTAACCACGCTTCGTCTTCAAATCGCCAGGATTTCTGCTCGTGGCATGCCTGCTTTGTATGTCTAAAGGAAGGCGCACGTGCGCTGGAAGCTACTGATGACCCTCCAAGAAATGCTTGCGAAAAGCATGCGCTTCTCGGCTTTCGGCCAATGTTTGATCTTGGGTTTTCCCTACAAAGCTAGGAACCAAACGATTAGTGCGAGCGCTGGGCTATCCTGCGTCCAGTTAGTATAAGTGTCCTACTTGATAGCTACTTTTGGCTACTAGCTACCTCGTCTAGCGACCTACCCCTCCTTTGTTTAAGATTTAACCAGTTCTTTCACACAAAACGAGGCTTTGCTGGCAGTGCGATGAGCTTGCGCTGCCCGGTCGAGATGCTTGCGCCGAGCACGACTTCATCATGTGTGAGGCAAAGGTCAACGGGGAACCATGCAGAAACCGAGCAGCGTCCTCCTTGCGGCCATTTTGCAAAGATCATATGCATTTGTCACAGAGACGGTTGCTTGGCAGAGTCGAGCACTCTCGAGGTCTTGATACAGATTCTGATGTTGCGCTGGGTCTTTGATGCCTGTGGAATGTGGGAAAACTGATCAAAACAAAGCAAAGCGCTTTAAGAGCGATGCCTCCAACCTAAAAGCCATGGTCTCCAACCTACTAGCGATGGCAAAGCGCTTGAACATTTTTAGATGCTTTCCTTCAACCAAGGTGGGGTTTTAGTTGGGGCTGGTCACCAGCTGCGCCCGTCTTGGAAGAATCCGATGGTGAGGAGAGGGCAGACGTTGAGGAGAATAGGAAGTGCATCGGCCAGAACCGCAAGGGCAAACCGTGTCAGTCCAAAGCACGACCAGGGTCCCGATACTGTGATGTCCATGCACCATCAGAGCAAACCCTGGAAGAGATGAGGGAAGCCGTCAGCAAGGACCAGGCATGATCAGCGTGATCCTGGATTGCTAAACAGTTGCTACTAGTAGCATTCTTGTTTGCAGATGGTTTAAGATTCCCACAGTTTCTCGCAGAATTCGATTCAAGCTGGGCAGGTGGCGGTGGAACCACCTCCCAAGCAGAGCTTCTATGCAGCAGAGGACATTGAGGCACGTTGCACACCGCACTCCATGACATCAAGCGTCCGCCCTTCATGACCTAAGAAATTGCATCCAGTTGAATAGCCGTTGCTATTAGGTTGGAGGCCATCTCTGTTTGGTTGGAGGCCATCGCTAGTAGGTTGGAGGCCACTGCTAGGTTGGAGGCCATTGCTAGTAGGTTGGTGAGCTGTGAGGAGGTAGGCTTTTAAGTAAGCTAGCAGCTAGCAGTAAAGGGTAAGTTGCCCTTTGTTTGTGTATCACCCTACGTCACCCATTTTGTATTCTGAGCTTTCGGTGAACGATTGGTGCAGGACGCAGAGTTTGCATCTGCTGGATCTGAGGGATCTGAGAATCCACCCAACATGGACGAGGACGGGAAATACGACAATCAAGATGAGGTGGAGGAGGCAGATCATTTGCAACACCTCCGCGAGGCCAGGAAACCCAATTGCAAATGGTTCGCTTCTAGGTTGGAGGAAGAAAGGAAACACCAAATTGTTCAAGCACTAGGTCTAGTATAGTTAAGGTTTCCTTAAGATCTAGGAACCAAATCATTAATGCGAGCGCTTCTTCAAGGAAGCTCCCCCCCGCCGCCTGAGTTTCCTTGAAGAAGCGTGAGCTATCCTAGCCCCCCGCGGGCTTTTTTGTTAAAAAGGAATCCACTAATGCAAAAGTTTGACACAAGTTGCACGTTCCTCAATTCGTGTGTGTTTTGACAGCGATGCGTCGGAAGCACGGCCAGCCTTAAAGTGTCAACAAAGGTCTATGATTTTGCTGAATGGAGCGGCGAGTCATCCTCAGAGGATGAGGCGAAGGAAGAGGAAAATTTCCAAGATCAGGCGGAAGATGCAGCAACAAAAGATACAAAGCAATGGACTTGGGACATGAGTTTCCAGGTGGGGCTGCGATACAAAGCCCAAAGTCTGGTCTTTTAGGCCTCTTAAAGCGTTCCAGGAGCGCTGGGAAGCCTGTCAGATGTTCATGTCCCAACAACGGGACACGCTCAGCATCGTCCGCGCCTCAATCACTCAATGAAGCCATTCGACAATGTCGGGCCAGTGTGCTCCCTGACACGCAGGTCATCGGGAAAGTGAAGGACCAACCGTAGCTCTAAGAATCGGAAGAGTCTTAGGAAGGGGTGTGGTTTGCAAAGGAAAGCTGAATACCTTAAGCTTAGATCGGTTTGTCTTTCATTCTTTGGAACCTTTTGGATTTGTCGCATGTTGTCATTTTGCCATGTGCTTAGAAAGCCTGTTGGCGCCACAGCGAGGACCAATCCTGGCTCTATCGCAAGAAGCTCCACGATGCCGAGGTGAGAGCATCTGCTCGAGTCTATGAGGACAAATCAATCATTGGAGGCACCCTGGCAGAGACATGGCTAGTAGTGATGCACCAGTTACTAGTAGCATTCTTGCTCAAGGGTAGTAAGGATAGGAGCCCCTAGTAGCGTCCTTGCTCCTAGTAGTGATGAACTTGTTACTAGGTTTAAAGAGCACAGTTTAGTCTGAAGACTGGGAAGGCACAATGTCTGCGCGAAAAGGGTGCACATGTCTGCTCAGGCACAATCGTGGGATGCATCTCGCGCTTGGAGGCCCTTGTTGCACTTGTTACTAGCAATGGCCCTCCAACCTAGCGATGCACTTGTTACCAATAGCGATGGCCTCCAACTTACTAGCTTCTTGCTACTAGTAGCGACGCACTTTGTTACTAGTAGCGTCCTTGTTACTAGTAGTAAGGCCAGGAGGTATTAGTAGCGTCCTTGCTACTAGTAGCGATGCACTTGTTACTAGACGTTTCTTACTAATCGCTTGGAGGCGATCCGCAGCACTCGGCCCTTTGCAGTGGTGGTGGAGGAGGCGTCCGAGGCGACAAATCTCTGCAAAAACAGAAAGACCGTCAGAACCTTCAGAAAGTCGCCTTCCAGAAGGAAGTTTCTCCGGCGGTCCAGCAGCAGCACTTCTTGTCATGGGGCCCCTTAGGAAGACCAAAGGCCGCGGAAGGAAAGCATGGTCCAAGCGCATGGCCACGAGGGTTGTAGAAAGCATTGCAAGTAGCGCAGGACAAGAGAGGTAGTTGAATCCGAAGGCAGAGGGGATAGTCACGATCTTGCATCAGAAGGCATAAGGGAAAGAGAGAAGCAAAGAAGGAGAGGTTACAAAGAAAGAAAGAGAAGAGACAAAGGAATTACAGCAATATGTGATTGAGGTTTGTTTAATTTTGATTAGAGAAGACAAGGAAAGAATAAAGATAGTAAGATGAGAGAGCTTTTATGAGCAAAAGGAAATTATTCTTTCCAAAAGAGATTTAAAACCGGATTGCCACTAGGTTGGAGGCCACTACTGGGTTGGATGCCATTGCTATTAGGTTGGAGCCAATTGCAGTAGGTTGGAGGCCATAGCGAGCCATTTCTATTAGGTTGCAGGCCATCGCTATTAGGTTGGAGGCCATTGCTAGTAGGCTGCAGGCCATCGCTATTAGGGTGGAGGCCATCACAATTAGGTAGGAAGCCATCTCTATTAGGTGGCTATTGACGAAAAGGGTCTTTAAAACCAGATCGCAGGTCTTGGAACCATTGCTGTTCAGCTGCTTTTGCGACAGCACGGTGCCTTGGCTTAGCGTCTCCAGACCGCTCACAAGACCTCACCAGCTTAAGAAGCGTTCTTCGTAAAGGAGCGTTAAAGTTAACAGAAATCAAAAAGGAACAGATGTAAAGATCTAAAGGAAAATAACGAGATGGAACCCACCACCCCGAACGCACACACGCACTCAAAAACAAACGGCCAAAAATTGTTTGACACTTGTGGGACACTCTTGCAAGACACTCTTGTATGCGGTGCTCTTGTGGGACGCTCTTGTAGGGCACTCTTGTAAGAGACACTTGTGGGACACTCTTGTGGGACACTCTCGTGCAACACTCTTGTGGAACACTCTTGCGGGGCACGCTTGCTTCCTCCAAAACTTATGCGTCAAGTCCAAAACGAGCGAGCACATCAAGCAGGTTCGCAGTCCCAGCCCCTCAAAACCACACCAGCTGACACACCAATTCCACTGCCACAGCGACACTCACCTCCACCAAGCGTCGCAACCTCACGATTCCCTGCGCCTGCCACCAAAATTCAACGACGCCTCATTCACGCACAAAGTCCTGCGCCTGCCACGCAAATTGGCGACATGACATCTTCATGTCTTCAGCAATACTTGCGCCACACCACTGGGTTCAACACTTTCTGAGCACCCTCACATCCACCAAAATCGCAACTTTAGCTGAGACTTGTCAGGAAATTCGAAGCAACAGCGTGGCATGCAAATCCAACACCTCAAAGATACCGTCCTCTAACCGCCAATCCCACTCTCACAGCGAAGGAAACTGAGGATCTCACAAAAGGCTGCGCCTGCGCAGCAGATTCATCCTCCACACTTTCCACGCTACTTCACCCCCTCTTAAAAGCCTCCCCCGCTATCAGCGCCATAACGCCCTACAGCGAAGGCTGCGGACGGCTGCGGTCGCTGCTGCAACGCCTCTCGAACAAGACCCTATCCCCAGAGTTAAACGAGAACCTTCACGACCATTTGGGAAAAAGAATAAAGAAAATGAGTGCCTTTAAACATAAAATCATATTGTTTTTCAGTAGCAGTGAGTTCAATCCACTACCTCGACCCTTGGTTTGTTGGATCTTTGTGGATAGTTACCTTTGTGTGGCCGAGGTGAAACTGGAGATGATAGGAGATCATCTACAGCTGCAACCTTCGATCATGCAGAAGTTTGCTTTCGAGAGGACCCCGACAGGAAATCAATCCGCTGATTTGAATGTGAAGCCGCAGTACCTAAAGTCTATGTACCTCAATAAGATCAAGTTGATTTCAAGACTGCCACATAGGGCTAGTAGACAGAGCGTTACTTCTGCAAGAAATCCACTTCACATTTGTAATTTGACAGCTTCCTGGAGGGTCAACAACGTGAACATCTCCATGTTTGAGCGGCTCATCACAGCGCCAAACGACCACAAAGCGCCCAGTTCGGTCCTCTCTGTGCAACGACGTATGAGGAAAGACGTGTGTGATCTTACAAGGGAGCAACTTGCCAAAGTGGTTAGTGAAGTTTAGTGGTTCTGTTGCATTTGTGGAGAAAAGATCAACTATTTGCATTAATTTGCTTTGTAAGTAAAGTGTCCATGCCTTTGAGGTACTACGCTGAAATCACTTCCATTGAAGATCACGAAACCTGCTGGACCAAGAAGATTCCAGGGAGCATTGCGTCCGGAAGCTTCTACAAAGGTCGTGAAGTACCTGGAGTTGCCAGCCACATCTATTTATGGACGCATTCTGGAAGTCAGGGCAAAGCAGAAGTTGGTCTTTCAAAGATCAACCGACAGGAAGCAGATATGGCAGTCTGGTTGGCGTATTACTTGGTGGATTGTGGAGTACCAAAGCCAAGTATTGTGATCCTCACGCCCTATAAGGGGCAACTCATGTTGATGAGGAAGCAGCTCCTGAGCGACCAAAGCCAAAGCTGGTTGTTATCCCACAATCCATCGGACGCCGACCAGATTCGCCTCTCTACTGTTGATCGCTTTCAAGGAGACGAAGGAGATGTCGTCATAGCTTCTTTGGCTCTTTGCCGCAAGTTAGTGGCCAGCTTCGTTCTCAAATAAGCTTGTTCCTTGATTTGTCAACAGTTTGCTTTGAGGCTGCAAATCCAGAAGTTACACACATCCAAGTCTGTCTCACCAGGTTGTTGATGAGCATTCCAGAACGCCGTTCGTGAAGTTGCAAAACCGAATGATTGTGCTTCTCTCACGAGCACGTCTTGGGATGTATATACTTGGAAGCATGGCCACAGGGCAATGAATTGTGTTTGAGTGTTTATTCAACTTGACAGGCCATCGCTTGTAGGTTGAAGGCAATTTCTTTTTGGTGTTTCGAGGTCATTGCTAGTGAGTTGGAGGCCATTGTGCTTATAGCTTAGGGCGAGATCTCTAAGGAAACACCGGATACTTTGAAAACTCTCGACCAGAAAAGCATTGGCAGCGAACCTTTGAGATCTTGCAGGACGGGATGTTGACTCTGTTTGTGGCAGCTTTTAACCGGGAAAGTGCGTCCTGACGCAGACAGTAATGCCAGGAGAAGCTCCTAGTAGCGATGCCACAAGCCCCTGGGTAGCGTCCTTGCTCCTGGTAGTACGGCCAGGAGCTCCTAGTAGCTTCTAAGTTTCAGCTTATTTTCAGCTTGGTCTAAAATGATGAGGAAAGATAAGGCGAAAGAGGCACTTACCTTCTTTGTGTCTTTTCCGTCGCTTGTTCGAACGGGAGGCTCCAACTGCAGCGGTCTCTAAGACTCCCAAAGACTCAAGAGCCAAAGCTTCATTGTTACTCATACTACTAGGAAGCTTCTTGTTACTACAGGTGAAACGATTCCCAAAGAACTCTCTAAGAGTAACAAAGAATTCTACTAGTAGCTTCTTGTTGCTAGTAGCGACGGCCTCCAACCTACTTGCGATGGCCTCCACCTAGTGGCAACCTTGTTACTAGACTTACCTGACACATGAACTGCCTGCTTCATTGTGGCCAGGAGCCGCCAGCTGTGTCTGACAGCAAGGTGCAGTTGCCGCCATATGATTCAAAACAACTCAAAGTGCACTTGACAAAACTTGTTGGAGGCCATCGCTATTAAGTTTCTAGTAAATTGGTATTCCTTACTACTGACAACGAAACTGGTCAAGATACTTTCAGTTCATTGCTTTGTTTCACTCTACTTTCGACTTCTTCCATCTTTTCTGCTTCGTTTAGCCCTTTGGCGGATTTTTGGGAGGCTGTGCCCAACGTTTGCTTCCCCAAAGCTCGCGTTGGACCTGCGCTGCCTCTTTGCTGTGGGCAGCACCCAACGAACTCCTTTGGAGCAGTGTCTCGGTGAGAAAGACCGGAACAACGAAACACCTTTGCTCCTACTAGCGATGCCCTTTGCTCCTAGTAGCTTCTTGCTAGTAGCGATGCACTTGTTCCTAGTAGCTTCTTGTTACTACTAGTAAGGCACTTGTTACTAGTAGCGATGCACTTGTTTCTACTAGCTTCTTTGCTCCTAGTAGTAAGGCCAGGAGCCCCTAGTAGCGTCCTTGCTCCTAGTAGCGATGCCCTTTGCTCCTAGTAGCTCGTCGCTAGTAGGTTTTCTGTTGTGACCTTCCTCCTCATAGGGAGGGCTTCCAACCTAATAGCGTGGCGAAAGAAAACAGTAGGTTCCTGTGCAAGATTGCGCTTGAGAGGAGAAAGCAACGGAACTGAAGCGGGGTTTTTGCAAAGCCATCTGCGAGGAGCAGCTGAGTTGCCATCGAATGTGTTTCTTATCGGAGTTGTCTAAGTAAAAATACAAAATGAAAGCGATAGCAGGAAAGGAGTCTGGGCCAGCAGCATGTAGCCATTTCATCAGGAGAAGCTGAGTTGCGGCCATTCCTGCAACCTCCAGTGCCATTGGCCTGAGCGGAAGCATAACAAGAATTGCCAGGCTTGAAGCATAACAGCTTTCAACTTGCTAAAATTGCTGTCAAAGCAGTTACGCCTTTGATCGCTATTAGGTTGGAGGCCATTGCTAGGCCATTGCTAGCTTTCTTTTTGAAAAGAAAAGTGCTTGTGGTGGCCTGTACTCTGCCAGGCTTTGGTGAGCTCACCATGTTTGCGCAACTGGGTGGCAAACCACAGTCAGCAGAACTAGCAGAGCAATCTTGAAATGAAATTGAGGGAATTGTCACTATGGCCTCCAACCTAATAGCTTCTTGCTACTAGTATGTTGGACTGTGCCTTGCAGACAAGACTTGCATTCCTTTTCCAGCTTCGTCCAAGGGCACCAAGCAGATCTTCCCTGCCATGAGATTTTCACAAACAGTCTGCTCCTTGAGATGTCTTCTCAACCGAGACTTCCAGTTGTTACGGATGTCAGAACCTACTAGCAATGGCCTCCAACCTAGTAGCATCATGTAGCGTCCTTGCTCCTAGTAGCGGTGCCCTTTGTTCCTAGTAGCTTCTTGCTCCTAGTAGTAAGGCCAGGAGCTCCTAGTAGCGTCTTTGCTCCTACTAGCGATGGCCTTCCCAAAGGATGTTCAAGACTTGAAAGAAAAACGTCCGAAGGTCAGGCTTCATCAGACGACTTGATCGATGTGGCTTTGTCCAGTTACCGGTGCCCGGTAAAAGTGAAGCTGCTGCTTCCTTGCAGCCACGAGCCCGAGATGGCTTGCGCAGAAGAGGAGGAGATTCAAAATGGTTCGCGGCCCATGCCAAGATGTGACAAGACCTCCCATACGCCGCAGCTTGAAGCAGCGGAACTGACTAATTTGCTCCTAGTAGCTTCTTGTTCCGAGTAGTAAGGCCAGGAGCCCTTAGTAGCGTCTTTGCTCCTACTAGCGATGCCCTTTGCTCCTAGTAGCTTCTTTGTCCTTGATCCATTCGAATGGATGCAAAAGCATTGAAGCTCTGACATCCGAGGTATGTCTACCCAGATTGCAAGCATACCCGGGAGGTCACTTGCTACTTCCTTGCCGAGTACAAGCGAGAGCCAAGCAAGGCCATATTCGGGTGCATTCAGTGAAGGAATTGCGGTTCTCGCTAGGGTTGAGGAGCAAAGGGCATCGCTACTAGGAGCAAGAAGCTACTAGGGGCTCTGGCCTTACTACCAGTAACAAGAATGCTACTAGTACCTCCTGGCCTTACTACTAGGAGCAAGCACGCTACTAGGAGTTTCGTCACCAAAAAAGGCTTGTTCCCTATGACCTGAGACCTGAGCCTTCACTAACCACAGCGTACAAAGTGGATCTTACTCCCCTTGAAGGCAAGAAAAGGTAGGGGGTTCGATGTTAACCTTCAATGGGAGCACTTTAAGAGCTTCCACAGCTTGCAGGTCCCAAAGTGTGAACACTTAGTCGAATACCTTCCTGATTGCGGTCACTGTATTTCAGTGAAATGCAGCTTTAAGATTTTTGGCTGCAGTTTGCAGATGGTGTCCGCGAAGGGATGTCTTATTGAGCAAGTAGGATCTGTCCGCAGGATCTTGCCCATTTTCTCCGAGGTCAGCGTACCTGCGCAGCGCAGCACAATTTGTTTGCCCACAGAAGCTTGATATTGATCTCCCACGATGTGGCCATCCTGCCAAGGCTTGAGACCATCGTAGTTTCTCAGAGATTGAAGACTCTCAGGTTGATCATTTGGCTCAACTTTCTAAAATTCATTGCTCATGTTTCAAGCATGGTACCTTGTTTGGAAGGTTTTTTCCTAGGATGGAGGCCATCGCTACTAGGCTGGAGGCGATTGCTAGTAGATTGGATGATTGGAGGCCATCGCTCTTAGGTTGGAGGCCACTGCCACTTTCCTCCTCAGGTCTCATGTGCCGAGGAGCAGTCGTTGCGAAGCTGGACTGGAGGCCTGGGCAAATGTGTGTCGGCGCAGTTTCAATGGTCGGCAGTCGCCAAAGCACCGTGCATTTTTTTGATTAGAAGCGCTCTTGGGAGTAGGAGTATGCCAACGAGAGGAAAAGAGAAAAGGACCAAAACGGCAAAGAAATAAATAAACTTCAAAAATAGAAAAGAATCAACGAAAGGTCCACTAAAAAGGTTTGCAAAGCAAACAAACACGAGCAGATCTAAGGCCCTACAGCGACAGTGCATAGTGCAGGAACGTAGCCTGTCATAGAAAACCCAGACTTGGTACCTTTTGGATAGGTTGCAAAGGAACTCTCTTGGTGGTAGTTCCACATGGTAGTCGTCCTTGTAAGAAGCGCAAGAGGGAAAGAAGAAGGAAGTGAACAGAAGTGGGGAGACAAAGGGGAAATCATCTCATGACTGGATGCTTTTGAAAACACTCATGACAGCCCAACAGCAAGCCCTTTTGTTGTTTAAAGAAAGGATTGCGTTGCGGCGCTTGGTGTTGAGGCCGATGTGGTGATGGTATGGTGCGAGAAGGAGAAGCCTATGGCCCATTGGAAGCTGTACTGATAAGATGTCAAGGGATTCAGCATTGATGCTGGAAGAATCCAGTTTAATGAGAACGGGGAAAGCTCAAAAGCAAAGTTTAGAAGGGCATTTGTGTCGCATGCTCGCAACAGATTGAGAAATCGATTGTTTTCTACTGACATAGTGACGCAGCCGAGGACCATGTTTGCGACAAAATTGTGACCTTTGTACGTATCTTGTCTTTGCAGTGGGTGTTGGGTGGTAGAGGTGTTCCTTGGTGCAAGATGCCAAGGCAGATGTGGGCACGAGGAAAAGGTCAAGTGCGGGAAAGCATTTGATTTGGCAAATGTGCGATCTCATTGCAAAGAGACAGTCCAGTCCTCAAGAGTCCTGAAGTGTTTTAAAAGAAATGTAAACCAAATTGGACTAGTGTTGGACTAGTATAGCAAGTGCATCGCTACTAGTAGTAACAAGAGCATTGTTACTAGTAACAAGAAGCTACTAGATGTATGTTCAGGTTCTTTTTCTTTGCTTCTAATAGCGATGGCCTCCATCCTATTACCGATGGCCTGCACCCTACTACCGATGGCCTCCAACCTAGTAGCGCTGGCCTCCATTGCAAAGAGACAGTCCAGTCCTGAAGAGTCTTGAAGTGTTGACGTCGCAAGCCAAGCAACTGTTCGAAGAGAGCACCAAACCCCATGTGGTTTCTAGTAGTAATGCCAGGAGGAGGGACCCCTAGTAGCGTCCTTGCTCCTAGTAGCGATACCCTTTCCTACTAGTCGCGTCCTTGTTAGGAGCGCCCCGCAGTAGCGTGTTTGCAGCTCTTTGGAAAGGTGCCAATTACACATCCACATTGCGGTCACGAATGCAAAACAGCGTGTCATCAGTCGCAAGAATATGAATCTCGGAAGCATGAGCATGAGTTTCCTGGAAGAGCGTAGGATGCAATTTCCATGGAACATGGTGGTGGCACCCCTTTTTGGAGTCGGCTTCAACTATGGAAACAGCGTGAAGCTTTAGGCCCCAATGGGGCCATAAGAACAATATGTTCCTTGGCGTCCAACGTACTAGCGATGGCCTCCAACCTAAATGCTTTCCTTTCCCATTAAAAATCGTTCCAGCTCCATTTCTTTGATTTTGACCGGGCGGCAATTGATTGAGGCTCATCTTCCACGACCACAGGGAAGTGTGGACAGTTTGGAAGAAGCCGCGCTTCACGGTTCATCGCAACAATTGCCTGGACTAACCTGCACCGCAGAGGTCGGAGCCTCACGTTGTCCTTTCCAGTGAAGCCAAGAGTTAAGTTTCCCTGTAGCTTCTTGTTACTAGTAAGGCACTTGTTACTACTAGCGTGGCACTTGTTACTAATAGATTCTTGTTACTAGTAAGGCACTTGTTACTAGTAGCGATGCACTTGTTCCTAGTAGCTTCTTGTTACTAGTAAGGCACTTGTTACT